ACACACACACACACACACACACACACACACACACACACACTCACACCCATTAACGCATACACACACACACACATACATACACACACACAAATACATACACACACACACAAATATGTGCGTGCACACACTAACACGAGAATTCTCATTCACATAGAAACAGTCTTACAACCACAGCCAACCCCTCCACCATCACCAACACCACCTACAATAACAATTACAAGAGCAACACCACCGTTAACACTAACACTAACAACCACAACATCAGCAACAATAGCAACAACAACTGGTAACAACAACAACAATACAGCAGCAGCAACAACCATAACAATACTGTACAGTCCAACTTTATTCCCAGGCTTTATCCTCCTCTTTCTTCCCCAGGCACTATTCTGGGCTTAGTGATCCTAGCCGTGGGTTTCCAGCTATCCTCAGACAACCCGGCCATCCTCAACAGTACTCTGGTGGAACACTACAGCAACGGCAGTCTCATTGTCTCCTGTACACAGGAGTATAGGTAAGGGTTCCTTCCCCAAAGTCATTCTCCTCCTTTTCCTCCTACTCCTCTCCCTCTTCCTCTTCCTCTTCCTCCTCTTCTTCCTTCTTCTCCTTCCTGGTATAGTGGAACGCTACACCAACAGCATTCCCTCCATCTCCTGTACACAAGACTTTATGTTAGCCCCCCCCCCCCCTCCTCTTCCTCTTCATCCTCCTCCTTCTCCCCAATGGAACGCTACAGCAACAGTATTCTCATCGTCTCCTGTACACAGGAGTATACCTAAGACTTTGTCCCTTTACTCCTTCTTGTCGCCATTCACGTCGTCTTCGTCCACCTGTTCTTCCTACTTCACCTCCTCTTTCTCCTCCTTCTACTCCCTACCCCTCATATTTTTATTTGCTGATGTCCTTGCCCTACTACTTGCAACTCTTCCTCACTTTTAACAAAGTCTTCACGTATGTCACCAGTCATCGTTGTGTCCTGGTGCAGTTCAGCATGACCAGCTATCTGTGCATCAAGGCTTTATCTCTGTATCTTTTGTGTGTTTCCTTAGTTCGTGTGACGCATGCGTCAAGTCTTCAGACTGCGGTTATTGTTTCACTGACGTCACATCCGGTTCCTGTCTGCCAGCCTACGACGAGAGCCGGTCGTCTGCCGGTCGGTGTCTGACGTCAGATAGCACAAGCACTGAGATGAAGTGGGCCTTTGAGTTCTGCCCCAGTGACTACACCTGGATAGCCCTGATTGGCATGGGAGTTTTCGTATTTGCCTTTGCTCCAGGTATACATTCCATACCTCCTTTTTCTTCTCCCTCTCCACCTCTTTCTCCTCTCCCTCCTTCTCTTCCTCATCTCCCTCCTCCTGGTCCCCATCCCCCTCCTCCTCCTCCACCATCCCCCTCCTCCTCCTCCACCATCCCTCTCCTCCCCCTCCACCATCCCCCTCCTCCTCCTCCACCATCCCCCTCCTCCTCCTCCACCATCCCTCTCCTCCCCCTCCACCATCCCCCTCCTCCTCCTCCTCCTCCTCCTCCTCCTCCTCCTCCTCCTCCTCCTTCCTCCTTGTTTTCCTTCTCTTCCTCCTTCTTCCATCTTTCAGGTCCTCGTCCTCCTCTTCCCCCTATTCTACCCATTCTTCGGTGCATAGCGTGGCCATGTAGGCTCAGAGGGTTAATGACTTTTATGAAAAACCTTATTGTCAGGATTTGGAGCTTTTCTTTACACTTTTTGACTAAGAGCTTATAATTATGCATGGTAAAGGAAGATTTATGTCTTCATATTCAAAGACTTCGGAGGGAAAAGTTATCAGTCACATGAAAATTATTTAGAGCTACTTCCTTTCTTTTACGTTTTGATTTAGATTACTGCAGTTCCGTCAATGTGCGTATATTTAAGAGCATGTCAATAGTACGTGACTATGAGAGTTACTTATAAAAATGTGATTGGTTGACAAAACTGAACAAGCCAAATAAAAAATTAAAACAGAAACAGATTAAAAATGGAAAATTGTGACTTATGCCATTATTCCTCTGCACTTTTCATCTGGTGTACATCCAGGTCTCGGCCCCATGCCATGGACCATCAACTCAGAGATCTACCCTCTGTGGGCTCGCAGCACGTGCAACTCACTGGCCGCCTGCTGCGCATGGGTGTGCAATCTGGTTATCTCCTTCACCTTCCTCACCATGACAGAGAACATCACCATATACGGTGAGTGATTTTTTCGATAGTGTATATAGAGGGAGGGGGCGAGAGATAGAAGAGGGGGGGGAGACGGGTGGAGATAAAGAAAAAGGGTGTGTGTCATGGAAAGAGGGGAGAGGTGGAGGTAGAGGCATGGTGAATTCAATCATGTATGAGAAGGAGGGTAACGTGAAAGACCGAGAGGGAAGAGAGAGAGAGAGAGAGAGAGAGAGAGAGAGAGACAGAGACAGAGAGAGAGAGAATGAGAAAGAAAAGAAGAAAAAGAGAAGATAATAGTTTATTTGAGGAAGGAAACATGAGTGGGGTTTGGTGGGAGGAGGTGTGGTGTGATAGTTACAGGAGATTTAGTATGATCTATAAAAGTTTCATTGAGCAGACGACTTTAATTTTATGGAGACCCCTGCTACCGTTGGAGTGTAAATCTTCATCTCTTTTTCTCTTTTCACCTCTCCCATCTTCGTTTCTACACCTCCTCCCTCCTCCTCCTCTACCTCCTCTCTCCCCACCCCAACCCTCCCCCCTCACATTCAGGAACATTCTGGATGTTCGCGGCCATCACAGCAGTGGGTGTGGCCTTCATGGTGTTCATGCTGCCAGAGACCAAGAACAAAACCCTGGAGGAAATGGAGCAGCTGTTTATGACATCCGGGGGTCGACAACAGACACACGGCCAGAAGGAGGGAACCTCTAACGTAAAGGTGTCCAACTCAGATCATTCATAGGTTCAGGATCCCGTAGACGCTCCGGGTTCTATTATCGTAACATAGACGGCCAGGCGTCCATGAGTAAAATCAAACACTATGTTTTACCAACATGAACAAAAAGTGTGCTCATTCCAGCATGCAAAAACTAAAGCGTGTACAGCTAGATGTTATATTTAATGAGAAAATGTTTTTCTTATGCCTATTTGCTTAACTGATACTGTTAATTCAAATATTTCAAGGGAAATCCGTAACTATTTTTTATAATCTATTTCACATTTTTTGTTCTGAATTTACAGGGTATACATCTCTGTTTCATCTCTATCATCTCCATTCTGTGGACATGGTCTCCTGCTACTTTTTTTTTAAATTTTTTTCTGTAAAGTGTTTTACGGCGCTCGCAACTACATATGAGCGCGCAGGACACTGCTAATGTTTTCAGTTGGTAGGAAATTTGGAATTTTGTCCGGGTGGCGGCCGAAGCCTACTCTTATCGATTTTAGACCACCAAGGGATCTTTAACGTGCGCAACTTGCACACGGGCCCTCCGAGATTTTTCGCCCTTGTCCG